ATGCCTTTTGGGGCCATTCAAATGACTAAATGTCTTAATCTTTATCAGTGAAAACCAGAAGTCACCATTCATAATACCCATGAAATGATCTTGTAAGATCGAGCCAGACATGCTGCCGTTTGTGATCAGATTGTGAATGTGTTTGTGAAAGCCATTTGTGTCTGACTTTAAGTCTTTATTCCCCATTTGTGTGCTGTAGTGTTTGACAGGCAACAATCTGCGCTTAAAAACATTAATCTGTTTTCTCTTCAACTGCATGTGGCCTCTCTGGTGTGTAGAACGATAAAGCTCTGCTTATGGTATAAACGACACTGGTGCATTAATGGGAAATGTCTTTAAAGCCAAGGACATGTGCTCTCTCTGCCGCATGAATGCAACCTGAAACCTTTCTAATCTGGAAAGTGTTTTCATTTCTGCTCAGGCAGCAAGCACTTTACACACAGTTTACCATCCTGCAAACAGGAAGTGAGTTGAACTTTTGTATTTCGATTCAAATGGCCCTTCTTGTAGTCGTAGTTTAGAGCTGTTGCTTTAGCCAGGCGCCTGCTGCACGTGTCAAACCTTGATGTCTGGAGCTGTTCTGTAACCTTCTGTGAAACACTTCCCATACACTATGTTCCTCTTCTGTGCGAAAAAAAAAAACTCTTTCACAGCTTGCTGGCTTATCAGGCGCACACACACACACTTAAACAGATCTCAAAAGAGCAACTGGAGCCAAAGACGCTCTCCCTGCTTCCCCCACTTTTCCATTGAAGATTGATTCACATGGGTTACATAGAGTAGAGCTTGCTTTGAAAAGGGACTTCTAAAGATAGATCCCATGGAAGAAATGCCCCCATATCCCTGGACTCCACCACGCCAGTCAAAGCAGTGACCTTTTTTCTTAACGTTGTCAGTTTTTCCCCCTTTGTCTGTATTTCCCTTTCAATGTTCACCTCTGCTCTCTCTTTCCTCTCCGTGATCCTCTCTTCAGGTGACAGCAGTATATGTAGCTTGGTGTTGACTGGCTGTTTCCCTCTGCTCCCTAACAGGCTGCCAAGACTGACACTTCAGGACACTGGGCTCTGGCAGCTTCAGTATGCTATTTCCCCATTGTCCTGTTTGTCCTTTTCTCAATGTCTGGTGTTAGAATAAGGTTAATGACTTTTACCCAATTCCTCCCTCTCTCACTCTTCACTGACTGCCTTTACATTGTATACAGTGTGTCTGTATAGCTGACATTATTATCCAACTGAGCTTAGAAAGACTCGGTGTTGGTAACTCGCAAAAGAGCATTTGTGCAGGGTGGATGGTTAATGGTTGATACTGACAGTTAGGATGACTAATCCTGAGTAAAGGACAATCTCAATAACAACATGGCCACTTTTATGTACCCCTAAAAAAATAAATAAATAAATAAATAATCTTTTTTAAAAAGCGTTCTTGTGCACTCGTTGTTGTGTAATCTCTAAAACCCTGTTATTTCAGTGGATTTTCATTTCCTGGCCGAGGTGTTTGATGACATTAAGAGGATCAAACCAGGGTTCTCACTCTGACAGTGACCTAAAAAAAATCAACCAAAAAAAGCCAGGGATGCCACCTTTATTGAGATTTAATTACCATCATGGGCATTGTAGTAAACAATTAATTCTAGAACAAATTAATTTACAGACTTGTCAAAGGCTGCAAGGCGCTGCATCTTTGATTATCCACACAGATAATGAAAGACGCTGAGTGGTGGAAAAGGTAACAGTCTTTTCTGTCACTAGATTTCCCACATTGCTTGGGCTGCTGCAGAGCTCTGCCTCTTCACGCATGCTCCCCTTAAAATCCCATGTGGTGCTCTGGCTGTGCAGATGCAGGAGGCTGTGAGCAGATTATCTCCTATTCCCATATGCTCTATACATCCACACAGAAATGTAAATATACTGCAGCCTGTGAAAACATGTCTGTGCAACTTTGTCATTTCATTGGGAGAATGTTCTTGAGTCTGTGGAGTGACCTATATCTAATATCATTTTGTACAGCCTTCCATCCTAAAAATGTCCCACATGTGCAGCTGAACCACAACAAATGATCTGACATCTGGCCAGCTGTGATAGGAGCCAAACTGCAGTCCATGCCCTCACCTAATTGTCTCAAATGCTGGATTACACTAGTGTATGAGTGCTCTAGTTCTGTTTGAATTCAGTAAAGTGAAAACAATACAAATTGTGGTATCCTGTTAATTCTGACTACAGGCACATGGACACAAATAAGACATGTATCAGATTTCAGAAGTCCAAATCATTAATGAAAAGACCAAATTCCTTTAACAAAAAATCCAATTAGAATATTTTCATCTGCAGTCTTACCATGCCCTAAGTCTAAAATGCATTATTGATGAGTCATTATGAAGTGCCTGCGAAATGATAGGAAGCATTATACAGGATGCTCACTCTTTGTACTGAGCAACATTCTTTGATTCTAGTTAGCTGACTCTCAAATACCTACTTTTGGACATTATAGGACAAAATGAGGTGAAGTGGAGTTCCTCGATAGCTACTTTGAAGTGAGAGTGTAATAATAATAGACTATTGTATTACAATGCAATGACACAGGTACAGTTTTAATACTCTTATTACATTTGTCTTCTGATCTGCAGTGGAGAAAGTGCGAGCTATTTCTGTGTCAGGATGCACTGATACCAGTATATCAGGTTAGTTTGATAACCTAACACAAGAGGATATGGTAGAGAATTTCCGCAAGACTGTAACATTTCAGAAATCTTCCTGCCTCGTCCACACAGAGAATATTAGATGTCTCTAATGGAGACAAATTGATTATTTAGCTGTCGTGTTTGTTCTCTAAGTGTAAAGGCCAAGGTCAAATCCTACTTTTCATTAAGTGATAGAGAATCCGTAATGGCAGTGTATAATGTGGGTATTAAAAATCAGGACTACTGCTTTAGGAAACCAGACACCGTGTGAGCATTTTGTAATTCACTTTGGTCCCTCTATCCATGCTCTGTCTCAGAGCACTTTGTCCCAATATAACTCATTTCCAGTCTTCCATACTGTGCCACAGGCTCTCCCAGCTGCTGACACATTCATCTCTAACACCCTGGATGGTGACGGTCTGAGGGGGAGTGCTGGGTGATAAAGAGGAAGAGAGAAGACAGAGGGGGGGAGTAAGTTTACCGCTTTAAGTCTTGAAAGAAAGAGCCAGTAAGAGGAGGAGATGGCACAATATATTGCCTGTATTTAGACTATTTAAAGACACAGGTGAGTGAATGTAGCAGTACCCTGCCATGAACATGGAATAACTGTCCAGGTTAATGCTGCAGTATACCAGAAACACAGTCTAAATATAAAGATAGAAATATAAAGACGCTCAGTGATTTCTATAGACCCTGCTCGTATGGTCATTGCTTACTTGCAGCTTTCCATCGTTGCTGACGATAACGCCAGTTCCTTGGGGTGCTTGTTTAAATTATGTGGCCACCACTGCTGACGGCGCTGCCATTGAATGTGGCTGTGAAGCCCAAACCTGTCCTGCCACAGCTGGGGCAGGTGAGGGATGAGTCTGGTGGAGCTTGTGGTTGTTGTGCACGGTGGTGCCTGCACTGTCCTTGTGCTTCTCTCTGGGATGTACATTTGGATTCTAGAAGGTCGACTCCAGAGTTCAAGGATGCAGTCCAGGCTCGGCGGACCATTACAGTTACTTGAAAATCCCCTGACTTTATTCTGGACTCTTAAAGATGGCCCCTAGACCATGTGTTTTTTGGCCAAATAAGGTCTGTCTTGGGAGATGGTTTTTAGGCATCTTGATGACATGCCCATCCCAGCAGATTTGGCGCTGTAGTAAAGTTGCTTCCACACAGTTTGTCTGGGTGCGTTGAAGGATGGTTGTGTGGGGTATGCGGTCCTGCCAGATGACTTTGCATGTCAGTGTATGGTTATACAATGTAAGGGCAAACGCCCTCTGTCAACATAAGAAGCCCTGAATTTAAGCCTTGAAATTAATTGATCTCTTGTTTTGGTCACAGCCTGGCCGTTTTGCCAACATTTTGTACGCACAAGGTTTGGCTTTGTGCAAGGGATATTTCCAGATGAGGTGTGCGTTTGTACTGAGTGCATCAGTGTGTCAGGCAGAAACATCAATGTCCACATGTAAAAGAAAAAAGGAGGAGGAGGCAGATATGTGAAAAAGTGTGATAATGATAGAGGAGACTAGAGAAGGTAGAGGGAAAGTAAGAAGAGAGAGTACATGGACACACATCTCTAAACACCTTATTATGCAGGATGAGCTCTTCTTATATTCTTCTTCCTGCTGTAAGAGAGTTGTTGTTCTGCCTGCTGCAAACCAGACACTGTTTTAAATCATACTGACAGGTTTGTAAGGCAGTGCCCGAAAATCTCATTCTGTAGGCTTTTCAGCAGTTGACCCACGACTTTGTCCTTTGTCCTTTGGCCTATTCTGCCAACACTGAATATCTTTGTGTTTTAGTGCTTTGGTGTAGCAACACAAACGGCACAGCCC